ACTATAGGTGAATACATCAATATTTCAATGCATATAAATATGCATTGAAAATGTACATTTTTATATAAAAAGGCTTCCATTTTAGGGGTTGTATCAGGCTTAAGCACTAAGTTTAGGGGTAGCATTAGGTTTGGGGTTGGAAATACAAATTTTTGTGTGAAAATCTATACAAAAACATGTATTTGTTTTTACATACAGATAAATTTTGTGATAAGTGTATAGGTACTGTTTGTTCTATTCAAAGGGTGTGAATATGCAAATAACTGTATATGAACATGTATGCCATTTTACTCATGAAAATGTAAATGTAGATGTCAATGTAAGTATAAATATTCATATAAACATGATTTTTATTAGAAGTCATCTCATGGCTACTGTGTGTTTGGGTTTGGACCTTGTTAAAGGGTGAGGGTAGTGGTAGGTTTAAGTTTAGGGTGTAAACATATATATGCATAAATATGAATATTTTTATGAATATACCTGTGAAAATATAGACAAAAACATTTAAAATGTGTGGTTCTTTTTAAAAATATTTTATTAGTTGTAGGTGGACACAATACTTTTTTTTTTATAATTTTATTTATGTGGTGCTGAGGATGGAATCCAGGACCTCACACATGTGAGAGGAGAGCTCTACTGCTGAGCCACAGCCCCATCTAAAATGTGTGGTACTGAATATGAAAAAATTTAGTATAAGATGCATAGCTACTCTTTGGATAAATTATAGGGCATGCTTATGCAGATGAATGTTTATGAACATATAGGTAAATTATGTGTGAGTATATAAATACTTATGTCAATGCATGTATAAATCTGTATTGAAATATGTTTTTATATAAAAATTATTCCATGGTGAGGGTTGTGTCAGGCTTAAGTACTAAGTTTTGAACTCATTAAGGTTAGGAGATAGTTTATTTGAGGAGATACAAACTTGAGAACAAACATATCCACATACATGCATTTTTGTTTGAAAAATGTGAAAATCTATACAAAAACATGTGTAAGTATTTGTCTTATATATGGATGAATTTCATGATACATGCATAGTTACAGTTTTTGGCCTACTCATAGGGTATAAACATGCAAATGACTGTATGTGAACATATACCTCATTTATATGTAGAAATGTAAATGTAGATGTCAATGTAAGTGAATATTCATATAAACATGTATGATATTTAATAAAAGTCATCTAATGACTACTCTGTTAGAATTTGGACCTAGTTAGAGGGTAGGGTTAGAATATACATATCCATAAATATGAATATTTATATAAATATACATGTGAAAATATACACAACAACATTTATAACATATGGTTCTGTATATTGAAAAATTTTGTGTATATATCCCTCTGCCCAACCACTATAAATTCACCTGCCTGATTTTCTCAGAACTGTCTCTCTCCTCATGTGATTATATGGGAGAATTTTTTTCTATATGACTCTCTTCTTGGAACCTGTGGTTGGGTCCACTCAAGTTGTGTCATATGCTCACACCTAGACAAAAATCAAGCTCCAGACAAATGGATTCCAGTTTATTTGAGGAGATACAAACTTGAGAATAATCACAGTGGCCATTTTCCAACAAATGTAATTGAAAAGAGAAACCCAGACCATAGCAAGTAAGATATTTATGTAGTTAGGATGATAAGAATGTTTCTCCGGTTCTCCGATTCCAGTTCACCCTGGATACCAAGGTACACTCCATCATCAAGTTTTGTAAAATACTCTTACATGTTTTTAACTTATCCCCTATTGTTAAACTAGTTGAAGTTAGGGTGCCAATGGTAATCTTTTTGTTTTTAAGCAACAGGAGCAAGTCTATGTGAGTTTGACTTTGGACATTGTTATTTTTGCTTACTAGTCCTCCTCTCTGTAGCTCAATCTCAAAACACCTAGGTGGAAATCAAATATAACAGAGGTACTTCTCATGGCACCACTCAGGTGTATGCACTTAGATAAAAAGGTTAGCATATAAGAATATAAAGAAATGGCACTTTTCTTTTTCTGGGTCCCTGGATCCACATGTATTTCTATTTTTAATTTGCTCTTTAAGAATATGTTAAACTGAGTAATCTATATATTTTAGGGGGAAAAAGACCTCACATGCAAAAGACATATATATTCAATTGTAGTGCATTTGAAAATATTAATAAAAATAATTTCTGGTAACGTTAAAACTCAAAGTGCAAGAAGAAACTGTGTTGAAAGCAAGTGGTTCTGTCATCAATCTTAACTTTTTTTTCTAGTGATGGTGGAAACAAAGATAACTTATAGATGGTACTTAAAGTTCAGTGAAATTGTGAATAGAGAGCACATAACACAACATTTGACACAATACATGTACTTAAAAATGCACCCAAAACATTTATATTTCCACAATTTTAAGAGGCAGTTCTAGGTCATATTACAACTGTAGTACCATAAACTGGTACTAATATGTTCACTCTATTCAAATAGATCTGCTGCTTAATAACTTAGCATCCATTTACTAACATTTGACTTGTTTACCTACCAGGGATGTTTTCTATTTATTAATACCAACAGAATAGAAGCCAGCCTCTTAAAAATCTTATAATAATGTACCAAAGAGCAATGAAAAGAAACTCTTTTCTTGCAACCCATAAACAAGAATGAAACAAGATTATAAATTTATTCCATAGTTAAGATTTTCATTTTGAAAGTCATACTATTCTCTCTGCATAAGCAACCTGAAGAATTGAATATATTTATTAGATCAAAGAATATGTGATGGATTAAATGATATGATGTAAAGCAACAAAGTTCCAGTCCCACTTGCAAGTAAAACAGAAATTTCTACCCAGCATTTCCATCTGGAAGGTTGCCCTAACAGCTTTGTGTTTCGTTCGGGTTGGCATTCTCTGAAATTATGGTGACCCATGTGGCTACTCAAATATTTTCTGAGCTATGTACTTCTCAAAGTGTACTGGTTTCTTGCCCTGGCTACCTCCAAACAAGAATATCCTGTGCTTCTTACAGTACATGCAGACACTGCCTTGTCCCATTGCATGAAGTGATGTGTCCCCATTTAACTAGTGTCTGGGACCCATAGTAAACACTGTTTGGATTTTAAGAGATCATCAATCTTATTTGAAAAAAGGTAGACTGCATTTCCTGTGGAGAGTTTGAAACCCAAGAATTTGCCCTGGTGTCTCCTCCTTTTGTAGGACTCAAACATTTTTACATTTTAACAAGTGTCTCCTCAAAGCTCAGGTATGGCATCCCTGTCTATTAGTAAAACAAGGCTGGGAAAAGCAGTCCATGTATTATAGGGATTGATCACACTGAGCTGGAAGTGTCAACCTAGGCATAACAGGGAGCAGTGCAGGCACTTTACCCCCATTACAACTACTTGTCTCTTTCCAGTTGAAGTCACTTTTGAGAATTACAATGAAAGAAATTATCCATCAAATTAGTATTGAACAGAAGTATCATTATCATCTAGTTTTACTGTTCCTTGGAGTACTATCTAGCTTTTATTACCTCTTTGAGGCAGGAAGAACTTATTTTTATTAAATTTTAGGCACTTGAATAAAAATTACCTCACTTAGATATTTAAATATTTAACACGCACATGTGTAAACACAGGTGCATGCGCACACATGTGTACACACATACACACACAGTACTAGACTGATTTGTAATGCTAAATCAAACAAATAAGGTTCTCATCTTTATGGAATACTTAAAAAGGAAGTATAAGCAAATACCCTATAGAGAAGGGTTTTCATGCATGAAAAAATTTATCTTTTTGTCTGGTCTTAAAAATTAGACAATGTGAGATAACAATGTTATTTAATTCATTTAACAAATAGCCAATGCATACAAATCAATGTTAAATTGTAGCAAACAACCAACAAACCCCAGATAGTAAATTACACTTGAGGTCATTTCATTCCTTAATTTACTCTAGGTTTGAATAAATTTATCACCTAATCATCCTTTTTATTTCTAGGAACCTTCTAAGCAACGTTGATTTGCCCCCATCTTCTTTTGCTAAGTGTCCTTGGATATAACTGGAAGCACTTTCTAAGAACCTATTTCTCAATTCTATTTCCCAGGGAGTCCCCACACAAACACACATGATCCTTCTAATGTAACTCGGCTCAACCTTTTGTCAGGATCAGGTCTTTGACTTACCAGATCATTTCCTGATATTAATATCCACCCCTCACCCCTTTTTTCCCCTAATTCCTGAGAAGCAACTTGGACACATGGTGGTAGAATTAGTTTATTTCTTTACTGTGGCCTGTTTGACCTTCTTCATATGTAAACAACCAATACAATTAACACAGAACGGTGATTTTTATTATTCCTTATTATGACCAACTGGAAGCAGCTATGTGTCTGTGTACACCAAATGTAATATCAATTTTACTCTCCAATCCTAAATTAACCCTATAGATAAGGGTTTTTATGCAAGGATAAACTGTGCCAGAGGTTGTGTTATATTGCCTCACAGAGACAACATGCAATTTTGTAAACATTGTAGCACTCACAGTAGGGCCAATAATTCTCAAATACTTGGCTTGCCTTGAAATTTGTTTCTAGCCATAGTTACTTCCACATCATAATCTTATGACTTGTAGTGAACTATTTTTGTACAACCTTTCCCGCTAAAGTCAACCTTTCTCTCTAAGGCTAACAATAATCTCTCTAAGGTCTAAGACCAATATGTGGTCTTAATTCCCTTTCATTATAATATCTGATCTCAAACTCACTTTTTGTGTCTAGTCCTGTTCTTTCTCTGCACATTTCCCTCCCCTATAGATTCAGAGAAAAGAAAGAATACAATGGAAGTAAAAAGAAGAATGAAGATTCCCTTGATGACATCGAAAGATCCAAATTTTAGCCTAACTCGCTGGTAGATGAGGTTTCCTTCCTTTTTTCTTGTTTTGTTTCCTTTTTCTTTTCATTATCTTTATTTTGTAAGCTGAGGTCGCAGACCCTACTCTATTCCAAAGACAAACACAGACATGGTACCTTTCTCTCTAAATGGCTACAGAGTGTCACAAGAAGTCCTCAGAAACAAAGGCACTGCTATGTAGATGCTGACTGCACCACAGGCAGGTGAGAAGGTCACCACATGCCAAATCCATAGTTTGCCTTCCTTTATCCCTGAGAAAGGAACAATGGCATGACTGGGATCTGGGATCTTTACAGCTACCCTATGGAGTAGGCAAATAAGTTGTTTTGAGCCAAATTATGCCCATTTTCCAATAAGGACACTTAATACTTCTCAAATATGTGAGAATTTTCAGACCCAAATGTAGTGAATGATATGATGACAAGTGACCTTAGAAGTGAGTTTGTCACTTGTTTCATTTGTATGTGAAAAATAACTTTATAATTTTTAAAGTGATTTAAAAATTATTTGTAGGGCTGGGGCTGTAGCTCAGTGGTAAAGTGCTTGCTTCTCATGTGTGAGGCACTGGGTTCAATCCTCAACACCACATAAAAATAAATAAAAATATTGTGTTTCCATCTACAACTAAAAAAATATTTTAAATAAATTATTTATAGCTTCGTAAGAAATAACTTGCTTCAAGGCCATTTCAGTTTTCTCATCTACAAAGTGAAAATAAAACACTAAGGCTCATAGGTTTTCTGATACTGCCATTTAGAGAAAAAGGCAGGGCTAAGAATCTGAGGGACAATGATTTGCTCAGCTCATGCTCAGGAGGGGGATGGCAATGGGACATTATTCTTTAGGCTCAATGGTAAACCCTGTTTAAAAGGTTTCCTGAGATTGGAACCACTTTGTCATGCTCACTGACTTAACTATGGCATTTGACAGAGACCAGGCAAGAGGGTTGTGAGCTACAGAATTGACAAAGTCCTGATCCTTACACCAACAAAGTATCTGAGCACTGCTGAGCCTCACCATTGGCCATGCTACTTTTCCCTCATGGATCACAGTGATCATCTGACTGACACTCCACTCTTTCACATGAGTGGTTTAGTGATCAACTTTGGCCCAGTACCAAGAGACCACAGGGTTGGGCAGAGGAGTCCTTGGATTCTAGGCTTGGTTCAAGGGGACACTTCTCAGTGGCAGGATCCTCCAACACCCCTGTGGGCCAGGCCAAATTCCAAGGGCTCTAGGGTAGACAGTGGCTCTACTAGTTCTCACCATCCAGGGAGCAGATGGTCAGAGGAGCAGTGTTGTTTGCACCAATGCTGTAGCAAGGACTAAAATAGGGCAGGAGGCGTCCAGGGAAGGGATGAGGGGGGAAAGTGAAAATGTGGGAGCCATTGTCAGTCACATTATAGAAGGAGATATCATGGGCCTCATAATCTAGGAAGACCCCCACGCGGTGAGGAGGAACTGGCAAGGACAGAAGCAGGTATTTATCAGTGCCTGCCCGGTACTCAGTTCCCTTCCTCAGCCTTATCACCCAGAATCCATACTGGGGGGATAAATAGACTACCTCCTTCCGGTCTACATTTTCTGTACACACTCCAAGACCCCATTCAGACCTGTCTCCCACCTCTACCTCCCAGTAGTGCCGGCCTGAGGAGATGCACTGGCTGCCAAGGACAATATTATAGCGGTAAAATCTTTCAGGATTGTCAGGGAGTTTCTGTTGAATTTCTCCATAGTGCACACATTTTCTGTCCTCTGACACGATCAGTCGGGAATAAGCAGTATCTGGATCCAGGCGCACATCAGCTAGGGAAAAAGATCCTGGTTGGTAACACTAATATAGAGCAAGGGCCACCAGGGAGATTTCTCTGATAAATCCAGCCACAGATTTCTCACTGATGGGCATCTAGAGGGCAATGAGTTATTTCACTTCTGTAGGAGGGAGGGATCCCTCAAACTGCTATCGCAATCATCCCAGCACCCATTACCTGCATATGTCTTCAGGATTTCTCTCAGCCCCAGGACACGGCAATCTGTCTTCAGTTCCAGGGAGACTGGTTCTGGCTGCTGCAGGCTCCAAGACTTGCTCCTGGTAGAGGAGGGCTAATGTTGGGGCCAAGAATTCTGGCTCTGCCATATGAGCCTTTCCTTAGAATATGGAAGAAGGGCATGGCCAGGGACAGTCAGCAAGGTGCCCCTCCTTAGCAAAGCAGAGATGTGATGATGATTTGGCTGACTCTCAAATTATGACATAGAAATGAGAACTCTCAGATCTCCATGCTGTGGAAAAGTTTAGGTATGTATTTGGTACCAGAAGAGGAAAAAGTGTCCTGCAAAGGAGAAAGGCTGGAACCTCTATGCAGTCTTTCCCTGCCCTTGGGTGATTTATTGGAAACCACATATTTTATAAACTTTACCTAAAATTCTCATTGGTAATACCTGAAATAAATTCGATCAAGTACCAAGAAGAAAAAGGAAATATCAACAATTTTTCTTTAGCCAATATAAGGGAAGACGGAAGAGATTATGGATCACTGTCTACTTTCTGTTGCATCATTTTCTTTTCCCATTTGTGGGTCTGGCTTCTCTATCCCCTACAAGGCTGCCTAGAGGCTCCAAGGATGGGAACATACCTGTTTAAGATTTCCTGAATACCCTAGAAGGAGAAAAAAAAAATGCAACACATGAGTGCTTTGGAGGGAACAGACAAAACACTGAACTCTGGAAGGGGTTTCTCAGAGTGAAATGGAGAAAAGCTGAGCAGTGCTATAGCAGGAGAACCTGTGAGAGGGCAGCAGAGCAGAGTTGGCTGCATTGGCCAACATTAGGCTCCATCCAAGATTCCCAGTGTGGAGGGCAGGAACTGGAATGATGCCAAGCTGCCTGAGTACCTGCTGACCTATTCCTGGTTTGGAGAATGAGCTGGTCTATGGAACTACCACCTAATCAGGGAAAGGAGAACAGCATGTATTAGTTAGAGACACACAGAGTCCCTAACTGGCAGGCAGAGTGCTGACAGGCTGCATGGAAGATCAGCTAATCCTCTCTCCTGGAATCTCAGTCTATCTTCTGCTCTCACTTAGGCCTCCCAAGAAAAGGTGGTACTCACCTGCAGCATCCAACGGACAGGTCTCTGATACCTCTCTTCCAACTCTGCAACCATCTTCCATAAGACCTGGCTCTGCTGGCTGAGCTCCTTGTAACTCAATTCCAGCTTATGCACAGTCTCTTCTTTCTCCTGTTCTAGACTGGCCAGAGCTGCAGCTTCCTCCACCTCTAGCTGCCGACCTGGTGGCTGTTGATTATTTAGTAATTGACGATACTTCTCAAACTCCCACATGATACTTCGCTTTCGGATTTCCACCTGTATCTATGGAGCCAAGATTGGAATCAGCACTGCTATTTTTTTGGTATAAGGGTCACTCTGAATTGGGGACACTGACAGGTGTGTATGCATATACTGTGGAATGTTTGGTACAACCATGTACTAGGCACCGTAGAGACAAAGATAAAGGATACTAACTGTTCCTACCTTTATTCTTCCACAGTTTAAGGGCATTCTTCTGGGTCTCTTTTATATGTTGAATATCCTTTATCTGAAATACCTGGTACCTGGTACAAAGGTGTTTTAGATTTGGGATCTTTTTGAATTTTGGAGTATTTTCTTATATGTAAAGTGATATTTTGGGAATTGGACCCAAATTTAAACAAAAACATTCATTTATGTCTCATATATACCTTATACACATAGCATGAAGGTAATTTTATATAATAATTTTTAATGTTCTTATGTTTTGAATGCAATCCATCATGTTGGTGTTCAAAAAATTTTGGATATTAGTACACTTTGGATTTCAGATTTTTTAGATAAGGGGTATTCAACCTGTACCACTATTATTGACCCCAGTAGGATCCATGATACAATACTAGTACCATAAGAGCTAGAATATTTTCCATTTTCAGAATAATAACCAGATATACTTGCTAAAGCAGTGTAAATGAACTATACGGATAGATGGTGTTTCCTCTTGCTGGTGTTATACCTGTTCAATGTACTACTTTAGATCACTTTCTTGATCAACCTTTCTGACAGTTTCATATTTATCAGCTTCAAGTGTATGACAGAGATTATTTTCTGATATTTTAATAATTGAACTCATAGCAACTATTCTTTAACTGGGAAAGTGAAATGGAAACTATGATTTACTAGCATTAGACAAGCCACACTACCATGAGCTATCATGTATATAAGGCACATACTTTTCCTTTCTAATATATGAGGGCATGAGATCAGAGGTATCCCTAATCATAATCAAGCAATGGGTGGAAAAGCCTATGGCCTGAGGTAAACGGAAAGCTGGTATTGGGACTCCAGGCTCTCTGACTTCAAGCCCCACATTCTGCTACACAAAGATGAGAAGCTACCACAGCCAGCTCCAGAACAACATGGGGATGACAGCAACCTACCTTCCAATGGGCAGTTCGTTTCTTCTCACTAACTGCCAGGTTCCAGGCCTCCTCTTGTTCTTTCCTCAGATGTTCCAGAGCCTCGTGGAGCTTCCACTGTAAGAGATAAATAAAGAAACTGTTAAAGCCACCTCACACTGATTTAAAAAAAAAAAAAAAGCTTTTTAACACTGGAAGGTAATGGGAAAACCAGTGAACCTCAGACAACAAGAATCTGAATAGATGCTGGGAGAAAAAGGAATGCCATAGAAGGAGTGGACTTGGCCAGATGACATGCAGTGTAGCTCTCTGAGCTAAAAATCACTTCAATTCCCACAATGCCTAAGTGTCTGTAAAGTAGAAGAAAAGGCCCATTATAACTTTTCTAGAAAAAAAATACTGGATTTTCCTGTTCATGCCTAATTTTATTCTTATCTGTTTTGTTATTCTATGGTATCCCAGAACCCTGCTACTCAAAGTGTGATCCAGAGTCAACAATACCAGCATTCCTTGGATGGTTGTTAGAAATGCAGACTCTTGTGCTGCATCACATACCTTTCAAATGGGAATCTGAATTTCAGCAAGATCTCTGAGTGATTTGTATGCACATAAAGGGCAAGAAGCACTTTCTTAGAACAGAAATACAAGGGATTTCTACTGGAAAGAATTAAGTATTTTAATATGAGTTTAAATTCTGATGATTTTGTTAAAGATTTACCAAATGCCACATATGGCTTAAGCACCAAACATGCACTAATACTTTGGCATTATCCCCATTTTATAAATAAGAAAACTGAGGTTAATCCAAAGTCATCCAGCTAATAAATGGCTGGGCTGGGATTTAGCTCAGCTCTTAATTCCTATGTTATAATGTTATACCTCATCCCTATGCTAATATTCTCAAAAAGAAAGAAAAAGGAAAAGAAAGTATATACTTCTGATGTTTTAGAAATTCTTCCCAGATAGAAAAAAAATAAATGGTTCTGATAAAGAATCCTCAGCATAGGCCTGAGAGAAGAGCAAGGAGCAGCCTGAAGGCTGGAAGCTGACAAGGGTGCCTACAAAAAAGGAGCAGATGTGACAGAGGTGACTCCAGCCCCATACATAAGTAAACAATAGGAGCTGGGAAATGAGAAAGAATCCTGGCCAAAGAGCAAAAAACCTAAGATTAGCCTTTGATCTTCCTTTAACTAACTTCAAGTCAGAAAGGATCTGAAAACAGATGCTGTGAGCATTAATACATATTAAGTGCTTAAACCAAAACTGGCACTGGCAAATCCGTTCTAAGTGTCTTATCATGGTTCTTTTCAGCTAAAATCAACTATTAAGATCCTAAATTTCTAAGCTTCATTTTTGTCTATAAAATGAAGGAGTTAAAGTGATTCACTCAATTTCAAGTGATTTCTTGTGGCACTGCTAGAAGTTTACAGATTCTGATAACTGTAGCTGTGACTACTAAATAACAGCCTCCTATCTAAACTCACCCAAGCCACACAGAAATGAAGTTAAAGGTATCCTTCAAACTATCAGTATTGAAAATATACTTGTTTGGACATTAAGCCATGTTGGGCTTGGGGTAGGAAGTGGAAGAAGTGGGAGGGAAGAAAATCAAAGAAGTTCATGAATACAAGGAAAGTTCAATGTACCAGATTCTAGGGAACTGTGGGTGGATGTCAGGAGCCAAAGGAATTGGCTCTCAGTCTCTTGGGCTGGCCCTCGTTGTGGAGATGGCCAAATGAGGGGCCAGTCAGATCTGTGATATGGAATGGCCAGGCTCTATCTCCCACCTTGTACTCCCAGGCAACATCCTCCATGGGCAGGACACTGTGGGCTTCATGCTCTGGGGACTGGCTGCAGGCCTCACACATCATCAGTCCATCCTCTTTGCAGAACATTTTTATCTCTTTCCTGTGGAGCTCACACACATCGCCTTTCAGCTCCATTCCTGGACAAAGCTGTAACAAACGAACTTTTTCTGCAACACTGGCCAGCTGCCAATTAGGACGCAGGTTTCTTAGCTGGACAGGAGCTCGACAAAGGGGACAGGTGTAACCCCAGTTCTCAGATTCTGCTGGGACTTGCCAGAGTCCAAAGAGACAGCTATGGCAGAAGGTGTGGCCACAGTCAATGCTCACAGGCTCTTTCAGAAAGCTCATGCAGATGGGACAGGCCACTTCTTCCATAATGGCTTCCACCAAGGCTACGAGATCCATGGTTCCTTCTCATGTCCTCCTCAGACTATGAATAAAACTAGGGAGAAATACTGAAACCTACAAGAATAAAAGAAAAACAATTAAGAGAAAAAGGTAAAAGAAGAACAGAGAGATCAATAAAAATGATAAGTGACCAAAAAAGATCTCTTTCCTTTGGATCCTTTACTGACTTTATTTAACTTCTCAGCTGAAGTTCTGACTAGGCCACATTACTCATATCACATTAGGGATAGGTAGGGATGTCTAAGCTGATGGAATTTTTGAGTTCTCAGTTTTCGTTCATTTGATCAACTTTGGTTCTTCTCTGGGTTTTGTACTATTAGACCATCTCACTGCAGTCATGCTCTATACAGCAGCAGTTTCTCTTGAAGTTGGGTAAGAACACATAACATGTGGTATTTCAGTTGTCAGAGTAAGGTCATAAATACTTCCAGCCTCACTCTGGTCTGTCTGTGTGTACATTTATATACTTCAAGGTGCAAAAGGCCTATGTTGGAAGCCCATCGCTTTTATGCATAATTTGTTTTCTTATGCTGCACACTGTGAGAGGCCCTGGGTTTGATCCTCAGCACCACATAAAAATAAATAAAATAAAGGTATTGTGTCCAACTACAATTAAAAAATAAATATTTAAAAAATATATATTTAAAAAATATATAAGAAAAACAGCAGTTCTTTCCTTCTGCCCTGTGAATCCCTGCACTAACATACCTTTTCATTCACTAACACGCCAAGACTCAACCTTTTGTTTTTTATAACTCTTTAATTTGTTTTAATTAGCTATACATGACAGTAGACTGATAAAGCCATCATTACAGGAAAAAAATAAACAAACAAAAAAAACAAAACCAAACCCTGAGATTTTTGCCAGGGCCACATATGGATATGGAACTTGCATGGTCAATGGTAGGCTCTTGGCTCAAGTTTGTGTTATGCGATAAAATCTGTAAAAGGAAGGATCATGCTGGTTTATGCACCTAAATGGTACCTGCCATGTAGATATTGCCCAATAAATATTTGTTGAATAAACCAGCTTAGCATAGAGTAGTTTTTTTTTTTTTTTTTGTACCAGGAATTGAACCCAAAGGAGCTTAACCACTGAGGCAAATTTCCAGCCCCTTTTATTTTGAGACACGGTCTCACTAGGTTGTTTACACCTTTGCTAATAAGGCTGGCTTTGAACCTGTGATCCTCCAGCCTCAGCCTCCTGAGCTGCTGGGATTACAGGAGTGTGCCACCACATCTGGAAAAAAATAGTTTCTAAATGAAAAATGCTTTTATAATTATAGGTAATTGAGAGCATAAATTAATAATAATAGCAAGTACTCCTTGAACACTTACACTATGTTCCAGGTACTGTTCTGTGCACTTTACACAGATTAACTGTTTATTTCACAACTCTAGATAGAAATCATTATTGTTCTCATTTTACAGATGGTTGACCCAGGGTTCCACTATTCTATTTTAGGCAAATTACCTAACCTCTCTGATTACAAGGTATAATACAAATTCAAGACAAAAGAGAGAAATCACTGTGGTTCAGGCTCATCCAGGAGGGCTTCCTGGATGAAGCAGGTTAGTAAATCATGCAGGACTCTGTTAGAAGATATCAGCAGGTCATATCTTCCTGTCTCCTGCTTTTTCTTCATCCACTATCGGTACCAAACTATGGAATCCAGTTTTGCTAAACTACTAACCAACTCAAGAGCTTCTCAGTTCCAGCTCAAAACAAGCTGTATCAAAGGGATCCTGTGGAAAATGCTCTTCCCTCAATCTTAAAACAGCACCAGTGGCAGGACAGCAAATGGATAAACTTCCATACTGTCCTGCAGATTCCATGTCCGTTCATTATTAGTGATTTGGGTTCATGCTGTTCTCCTAGCTGGAATGATGTCTTCATGATCCTACTCTTAACATCATTGTCAAATATTTATTGACTGTCTTACTTTGTACACTAAAGGTTTTATGTGAATAGGGATATTGTCTGTTTTGTTCACTACTATTTTTCCAGTGCCAAGAACAGTGCTTAATATTGTTGAATGCATGAGAATTAAATGTAACTGTTGAAGTTCAGCTGATAGTAGGTTAGAAGTAGAGCAAATATTAAATCCTCATCTAAGCCAGTGGAGGGGGCGACACTAAATGGCACTGCCTGAAGCTGACAGAACATGAAAAAGAGGTTGACATCTATTATTTAGAGCTAGAAAGGTTAACAGAAAAACTGAAATAGCAACTGAAAATTGAGAAGACAGTGACAGTAGGAAATTGAGGCAAATAAATATCAAAATAAATCAAGAAATGAGATGAGTGGAAAGCATATTATTTTGACTTAAAGTCATAAAAAGATATAACGTGGAAACATTAATAGTGGTGACCTCTGCAAAGATTTAGGGATGGATAATTATTGCTCTTCGGTAGAAGATGTTTTATTTTTTTATTGTACATAAAATACTTCGACAAATTAAATAATTAAACGTTTAGTTGTTACAATTGTGCCTCTGGCAGAGTAGGACACAGGTCTGAGAAGACATTTGAGGGGAGGGGACAGAGACTGGAAAAGATTTTTGAGGCAGAAGGCCAGTGGGAGAAGGGAGAGGGGAAGGCGGGAACCTCGGGGTTGAGGAGCAGTGGGGTACAGTAATCTTCTGGCTTTAGGGCGCTGGGCAGGTCCCGAGGGCAGCTGGGTGTTGGGGGCTGACTAAGGTGAGCTTGCAGGATTCCTGACTTCAAAAGGGGCACGGTTGTCTACCCACCTCCCTCCTTCACCTGGATGAGCGTTTCGCAGGATAAATCGAAAGTGGAAATGTCCAGGTCCGGCTGCCCAGTGTCCGTTGCGTGAGAAGGGACCCGTCCCGCACCAGTGCAGGACTTAGACTCAGTACTTACCCGCCCGTCCAGCGCCCTAGGTTCAGGGACTTGAACCCCGCGACCAAGCCTAGGCGATCCACAGCTCCCGGGTGGCACTCCACAGCGCAGTGGGCCCGACCCTGAAAGCCAGTGCCAATGAGAGCAGGGAGGGTCCAGGCGCCGGCTCCGCCCGGCTGGTGACGCTTCCTCAGGAGCAACCAATCACAGACAGGAATCTGAGAATCCTAGCCTATTGGAGCTGGGAACCGGAGTTGTGGCCGCCTCTAGGCGTGTCTATCTCCACAGTTTTCCCGGCCACATTCCTCACTCAGAGCCACTTACAAGGTTTACTAAAAAAAAAAAAAAAAAAAAAAGTCTTCCAGGACTCATCATAGGATTGAGATCATCCAACGAAGGTCCAGGTTCTGCATTAAGAGACGCCCAGTTCATTTGCCGGTTTTTCATGTTAAACTGAGCAGCCTATGAGATCAGGCAGATCTGGTTTTGTGACTCAATCTAGCACAGGGCTGGGTACACATATTTAGTGGACTCTGAAGTTCCCTGCAAGATCTGCAACCTCTCATAGCTCCTGAGTCACATGCTGGGTTCTTTATTTAAAAACCCTCCCGTTTTCCCTGGCAAACTCTTATCCTTGAATGCTTACAAAGAAGTTTCTCATCACAATTCCAATAATCCAACTCAAGAATTAGGAGCAAATATTGGGAAATTATATTTCCCAATATAATGGAGTAGGAGAAGTGGAATCTTTGGTTACAAACTTCCATTTTAAAAACTTCCCCCGCCCACACACAACAGATACCCACTTCCTCACCCAAATACACAGACACACACACAACATGCTACTTGAGACAATGACCTGTATGTTGTATTTCTAGGGCTTTGTCTTTTTTAAAACTACTTAGGTCGATACCAAACAAACAAGTGAAGGTACATCCAATATGGACGTAACCAGGAAATCATTTAATTGATGCGCAGTCCCAAATGATTCCTCACTAAGACTGACACTCTTTGAATCCTCATGCCATTGTTGGAGCTCAGGCCATGGTTGAAATTCTGAAAGGTGAGACCCAGAAAATTCCTGAAACAAATGGGACTATAAACACAAAGAAGAAAAGAGATAACTGAGATCTGAGATGGATTGTCACCTGGGTCTGGATAAATGGCTACCCTAATGGAATAGTGAGTGAATTAATTGAAACCAACCATTTATTTATTTTTATTTTTATTTTTTTGAAAACAGTCATTTAAAACATTTATTGAGCATCACTTAGGTAGAGGAAAGAGATTGAAGATGGAGGTGAGTTTAGAGCTGAGACTTAGGATTCTGTCTAAAGGAGGTAGAGAACCTTTCCAAAAGTGCTTCTGGGTTAGAGGGGTGGTCACCAAGAATGTGTATTAGGCTTTAAGAGTCTCAACAGTCAGAGAGTAGAACGGAGAGGACCTTTACAAGAATGTGCTGGGCACGTTTCAGTGTGAGATGCCACAGATGGGAATATGGTAGCATATGTGTATGTTGTGTTTGATGTAAAAATAAATAAATTATAAATATGTATCAGAACATAGTCAAATATTACAATAGCAACTATTACTAATTATAGATTACTAACAGCAAGATATTTGGAGAGTTGGCTTCAGAACAAGCCAGAAAAATCTTGTTACTAGTTTGATGTCAATGTTATGTCAGATTAAAACAAGAAGAAATAGCTTCACAATTTATTGTATTATTGTTTAGTTATATTTATTTTAACTTTAAATCTGTTTCAATAAGCTGTTTTTTCTTCAAGTGCCAATGTCTCCATCAATAATGATTGAATTACACAAATTAGTACCTTTTTTTTTTCATTTCCCTTGATTTCTGAGAGTTTTTTTTTTTTTTTTTTCTGGATTTTGGTCCTTAATATTATGTGTCTGCCAACATTTTATTATATTTTCTGAGAGAATTATCTTTTTTTCCCAGAGATCTATTTAGTTGATTGTCCCATTTAAAAACTTTGTTAATTGTTTATTATTTTAACTTATTCATTCCAATTTTATCTTTATTACTTGTGTTTGATTTGTTTTACTTATGTTCATTGTCTTATTTTTCTGGCTTCTTTTAGTGCTTTTTTAATTCCTTTACTGGGGAGTATAAAATTTTCTCTAAATATGTCAGGCTA